ACATTTTTTGTTAGTTTTGGAATCAATTTAAATTGCTGGTGTTTGGCCTTGAAGCACCTTGACCATACCCGGCTAATGGACCAAACTTTAAATCTGGCTTGGTAAATGTACCAGATAGTGCTGCTTTGGAGTAATATCTTCATTGAAGACACTCTTGAATGTTTGCAAGTTTTCTTCTATAAGGTCCTTTAACTATCCTAACATATTAATGCTTATTTTCTTGCTAAGACAAATGGCAGTAATTTCCAAAATGGTCAGTAGAACATTCCACACATCTGGGCAATTGTGGGAGAAAGGTTCAGCAAAATTTACAAACACGCGACTGAGAAGCCATATTTATGCAACCGTCTGTCCCAGGTTTTCACGAGGACTCTTTAGATCATCAGCACAAACAAACATTGGCTTATCTTTTAGTTCAGAGTAACCATAACTGTAATTCAAAACAAATTCATTCAAATCTTTGAAAGTGATAAAATGGTTATTTACAAAGTAAGTCATGACATAAAACAAGGTTCTCAACAGGGCACCCTGAGGGAGCTGATCTGTTACATCAAAGTGAGGGGCGTCTAACAGAACAATTTCTTTGTTACTCCATATTCTTTCAAGAAATGATTGTGGAGCTCTGGATTCTCATCAAGTTGCTTTAGGTGGTAATCATGCATAGCTTTATTGCACAGTTAAAAGTCCTCTTCTCTGGATTTCAAAATCAGTCATACAATGGCAGCATTTTTGCTTTGCTCTACCCACAGATTCCTTGTAACCGCCCATTAACTGACTGGCCGGAGTGTGCAATTACTGCAAAAAGAGCACCTCTTAGGTGCACAATACCATTTTGTAGTCATAACCTAAGTCATCACCAAGTACCTGTAGCTCTTCAATGAAAGGTTTTAAAGTGGCATCTATGCCATATTTCTTTAAATGACAAGTCTCTACTAGTGCCGAAAGGTTTATGGACTTTAATGTTGATCTATATTCAGAATACAAGTTTCCCAGCTGAAAATAAAACATTGCCAGTTTGTGTTTCCTCTTTGTCTGCTGGTTGGTTATCTCAAGATCATCATAATAAAGAAGGATCTTCAAGCTTTTGTGGTCCACAGAGAACAGTTCATGATTGTGTACAATACTCCCATTGTTGAAGTCACATAAGAGGCTAGAGTGTACATCCTCCTTTCTAGGTTTAGCGACCATGCCCAGAATTATATGGTTGTTAAGCAGTACCTCCAGTGAAGCTAAGAGAGACACATAGTAAAAGCACTCTGGACATTGCACAATTCTTCTCTTCCCATTTCTTAACTGTTTCCATTTTCATCTCATCCCCAAATGTATCTCTTTAGGTGAGATATTGGGGAATACACTACCAAACTCAGCACAGCCAGTCAGTTCAGCTGAACCATTTTCCCATGAGGATGGGGATAATACATCTTCAAGCTCTGGGATACTGTTATGGTCAATGTCATTATCATTCAGAATTTTGTGGACATGTCTCTTGCTTTGTACATTTAATGCTCTCAAGAGCGATACGGTAACTGCCTGGATCCTCTCAATATATTCCATGGATTAGTATCGTTTACATTCAACACCAAGAACAAACCTTGTGGGCCTTCCCAGAATTACTTGTTATTTTCTGAAATAACTTGAGTAAGAATTCTGCAGTCTTCCCTGTCAGTAGCCACAAGTTGTTGTCAAAAATGCCTCTATGATTAAAGGGAACAAAAGCCTCCTTGAAAGCTGACAAGAACCCACAAGAAGCTATTACTTTTGCTGTTTCAGGTAGAGACCTGGCATCATTGTGTTCACGTAGCAATGAATGGAATATTTCAGCCTTCTTTTCTGTGATTAGAAGAACTGCAGTTTTTTGGCCAATAGCCTGGCAGAAATACTCTTTGACAGTCCATGTTGCTCAGAAAGTACAAAATAGATTTATTATAGTGTCTTCTCTCCCAGCAGATAAAAAGCACAGCCACTTGTACCATTAGGTTTTCATACTCTACAATATCCCCACCCCTAAAGATTTTGTACTGGAAGAATACCAAGGGAAGCAGATGTTCAAGTAGATAGATGACAGAAACATATTTATGGTCTTTGCAGATTCCGAATTTCTGCAGAACTTTTTTCTCAGATTTGCAGCCAGCCCAGTAGAGCAGCAGTTAAGCATAGTGTGACCTTGTATGATTTGGGCTTGCGGGGAAGATCTGTCCCAAAAACAGTCTTGAAGAGCATGTCAAAGAAATGCTTGAAAATGATAACTGTATCTTCTGCTGCATTCAGAGAAACATTGAACTGTCCTTGCTCAGGGATAACAGACTGCCCGAGATACTTGCATTTCCCCAGAGCAATGTTCTTTTTTGGATAGTACCAGCCTGGCCAGTCAGCTGGCCATGGTATCACATTTTTCTCAAGATAGTTTCCTAGTGGAGGGCATTCTTGTAATAGTTTTTGAAAGCAGTCCTTGTAATTCTGTGCACTCTTCAGCGACTGTTCATGTTCTGATAGGAGTTGACATGTTTTCAGAGTTGATAATTCTCCATTACTCAGTTCTTTATACAGCCTGTAGAACAAAAAAAGAGAACAATTACACTTATTTTAA